AGTGCTATAGGAAAGTGTTTGTGAATATAGGGAATCAAGTCTAAAAGACACAGGTAGCCAGCAAACAGTGGAGCGGTACAATCTCTTTTTTGTATTAGTCACAATTGTGGCTGCAGTATTCTGAATTAACTGTCATTTTCTTATGGACCTTATAGCTAGCCTAATTAAAGAATGTTGCCGTCATCTAAACAGCAACCTAAGATAAACACATGATGTTTTTGTGACCAAATGTGGCGCGCCCTGAAGATGGGTCGTCACTAAAGAGACGGGGTTGGGTGGTTGGATTGGTCAACAAAAGGTGGATGTTGATAGCATGTTCCCTTCCCTTTTCCTATCAACGTTGCCGTCTCTTAAAACAGTATTTACATGTTGATATGTCAGCTGAAGCATCTCCCTCAAGCACACTGCCTAAGTGATGGATACAAACTCCATAGTCTTCACTCTGTGTAAAAATATAATCTAATGTTGAGCAGGAGTAAAGATGAGTTAATATGGGTTAGAAAAAATGCAAATGAAACGAAAATGAAACTGAAACTCAACTTTATTTTTGTACCACTAACACAATTATGTGTAATTCTGTAGACTGGCAGTTATGTAAATATGGATCTATATCCGCAGACTGGAGTGTCTGCTTATAGTGACAACTGGAGTTTAACCTGTGTCAGCTCTCTTATATGAAAGTGGGTTGAAAGTACATCAGAAGTTGTATTTGCAGGAAAACTACTGTGATCCAGTTTACATCATTTTTAGAATGTGTTCATAGAATGATCGCTTTTAAGTTAAAGTAGCACGCAGCTTGATGCCGGTCCGACTGTTTCATGTTAGCGCTCCTTAATGTCATGTTCAGCACACTCGCCATTAGAGAATGTTAATGTTCTGCCGATTGCAGAAACACTTTTGGAAAACGCTGCTCGACATTAAGTCTCTAATTAAAAAAGTGTATTTTTTACTTTGTAAGTAAAGGATAGAAACTGAATTTCTCTCATAGCTACATAATGACAGTTTGTAGTTACTGGTCTGAGATAATAAAACACCGTCATGTGAATGGCGTTCACATAGTCCAGATCTGAATGCTACAGTAAGTGTATACAAGGTCTTCGATTTTATTTCCTCACTCTCTTGGGTCATGTAGCTTGTTTAACCTTTGACTTTTTTCCCAAATATCCACCCCCCCTTGGCTCAAGTTTTTATCCACTTTGTCCACCACTGTTGTCATCATTCTCACACCCGCGGGGGTCACTTAACCCCCTGCTGTGTTTCCATGTCACCCTGATTCATTGTGGACCCTCTGCTTATGAGCTGTGGCCTGTCACAGGGAGGGATGACGGCCATGGACTCGGCTTGGCAGTGTTCCAGTGACATGAAAAGACACACTCACAAGCACAGACACACACACACACACACTTGCCCTAGAGAGCCAGGCATCTGTTTCATCCAGATGTGAGATATCAGCAGAGAAACGCACACTCACAATGAGACATATTCACAATTATTGCATTTAGTTATATATCATGCATTTGTGTGCATGAATATATAATTGCACGAGCACGCACACACACACACACACAGCACAGCAGTCCCTCCGTACAAGCCCCAGAGGAACAGAGCATGTGTTTCCTCCCTCACCGCTGGGGAGTGCGGCAAAGCGGGGGGGGTTAATGTTTATGAGCAAGCGTCATTAATATGACAAAACAAGGCTGGCTGAGGGATTTACTGCACACTCTGGTGCTGCCATCATCTGTCTGTTCTTCCTATCACCATCGTCTACTGCAGTTAGCATCACCATTAACGTCCCACCAATCCTAATCCTAAATGATTAATCACTGTCACATGAATGTTCATTTGTGTGTTCTGTACCTGTGTTAAGAGGTGGAAGAAGAATTCACATCCTGTTAAAGGCCCTGAAACAGCCTCTGATTATGAATAATGATCCTTCACAAACACTCTGTTTTGGTTATTTCACATGAGAAATTTCTGTAAATACGTTCAGTGGCGAAGTGGGTGGGGCTTAGACGGAAGAGCGGATGTCTTCTGTGAACTAGCCACAATTTAGCAGCATTTGAATCAACTGTAAATCACATCCGAGCAAGCTACACACCACACAGTCCTGATAAAACAGGTTAGCTGAGCTTTGTCATGTTAATAAAGCATGTTTTTTTTCTAGCTTTAAATTCAGTTGTTTCATACATGGTAATGACTCATTAATTTCTTTCTTTAAAAAATATTCATAGAGCTTTAATGCAAATGTTTCACAGAGAAAATGGGAAATATATGATGATTAAATGCATGCCTGGACTTGCCAAGAAAAATTAGTTAAATAAATTACATTCAATTAATTTTATCAATTGGTTGGAGGTTTTAGTAAATGTGTAAAGCTGTATATTTTACCGGCACTATTATTTATTTATGTATTCAGTTATATTTTTTGACTCATATTACATTTCTATTGGTTTGGAACTCCATATATAGATGCTTTCATAAATTATAACTTACTCTGTACGTTATAAAATTCGCCTGGTTACATTTAATGATGCAGGTAATAAAGAAAGAAAAAGAAGATGAAGAAATGTGTGTCTGTTGCATGAGATTTGTTTGTATATGTCTGGCTGATGAGGGAAGGAGGAGAATAGAAAGTGCCTGTAAGCTTAGGGATGCAGAGTGGAGTTAATAACCACACTGCATTAACACCACAGGGCTCCACTCCTTTATAAATTTGCGTTGAGGAGCCTTAGTGCAAATGTTATTTGTTCCGTCTCATAAAGCTCTTATACTTTTTTTAATCTATACACTGAATGAGGGAGGGCCAGGTTTCAAGCAACCAGGCAGAGCTCATATTTTAATTTATGTCCTTTGGGTTGACTCATCTATTATAATACTAATAATATCATATTTTACACTGATCATATGTTTTGTATGTAAAATCTTAACCTGCAAAGTAACCACTTGCTACAGCCATCAGATAAATGCATGTGGATTTAAAAGTAAAAAATTACCTGAACTGTAATGGAGTAAGTAAAAAAATGGAAAGTTCACATTTCACTTGAGTAAATGTACTTACTGCCTCCGCTGCCAGTCCCATATTTCTTTGTCCTTTTTTCCATTTATTTCACCAGTTGTTTATGCATTTCTGTTCCTATTAAACCATTTAACTGTGCATCTGCTTGTGTACAGAGGCTCAAAAACAAATGGTGTCCAATGTCTGTGTACTTGTGACAGGGACAGATAAGGCAGTGTGGAAATCCATTCAGCCAGAGCTCAGCCTCCCCACCGTCTCTCTCTTTGTTGTCCAGTTTCCCATCTCCGGCCGACCACATGCTGGAGAGATATATACGCAGCTTCTTGTAATGGCATAATTTCACCATGATTACCGTACCCACCAGCTAATCCCATAAACCACATACTCATCTCTGCCCCTTTGTCTCCTGAAGCCGAGCATTACTTTGGCTTTGCAATGCTAAAGCTTAAACATTATTATTCTGGCCCAGCGTCATCCATCACCAGTTGTCAGTCAATGAATTGAAGGATTGATTATGCCTACTTCTGTTGCCTTCTGCCTGCTGTAGAGTATTGATGAAGACATTTTTAAAGTGATGCATCTTGGGTATTTTTTCCTGATGTGTTACTGAACATGTATTGCAGATGGTAGATCACTTATGGAATGATTAATTAGCACAGTTTAGTGCACTAAGGGAACTGTGTATGTTGCCATAGCTAAGGTAGAGGAGGAGATTATTTTGCCATAGCAACCCAATCAAAGCAATCCATTGGGTCAGGTCAGATAGTGTATAACATAAAGCACATTGTGACTGTTGGTTACCAAACTAATTAATCACTGGCAGTGAACTCTGCCCTTAACGATCCAAACAATTATTTGTGAGGCTGCAGTTATTAGGCCTCGTACTCCTTGCCATTGCAAAGTCCGTCTAATGTAAGAGACAGACACTGTGAATACTCCTACTCCTCTGTGTGTGAACATCAAACACATGTATAGCCTTGTGAGCAGAGCTTCGCAATGTTTAGGTAAGATGCAACACAGAAACATGAATACTCACATAACCTCTTGTTCTTTTTGCTCCCTCTTTTCCCCTTTTGTCTTATTTTGGCAGCAAACTGGCTTTCTGAAAATAAAAACAGCGAAACGTGATCATATTTATTTTTCAGCCTGACATTTGCCAAGAAAGATAGTGGCAGCATGACTGGTCATTTTGGGTTAATGCATTAATAATTTTAATTCATGTGCAGGTAGTGGTGAATGCTTATTGGATGCCTTTAAATGCATACTCTAGTGATTTAATATTACATTTCCATAAAGTTGGAGGACTTACGAATTAAAAAATTTAATGGTCAAAATGTCCTGATCTTCAATATTATATCTCCATAAGGGTTATTTTATTTTCAAACTTTGAAAAGCTCTGTCCAGAGCTGCAGAATGCATTGTACAGCTGTTTCAAGGGCTAAGTAGTTCTCCTCTGCCAATAAGAATCAAGCACTTGTACTATTTCCCCTTGTCTGGTGTAGATTTCTAAACAACACTAAGAGTTAACAGCCATTCTAGCTGCTCTTCAAGGCTACAATTAGGGATAGTGATCTGGTGAGCAAAATGCCAACATCATTTTGTTATCAATCATCTTAGTTTGTTTTATTTTTTATTTTTTGCATCCTTTGCATTTCACTCAAAACAGAAAATATCAAACTCACAGTGACGCTATGGGGATCACCAAAGTCATTAGGATCCATCCACTGGGGACCATGAATGTCAAAACATTTTGTGCCTATATATCTGATGGGAGTTAAACGGGGGTTTCTCCTCTGCTACCACAATTTATTATGATTTGTTTTGTGAAGTCTAATCTATCTGATGAATTAATGCAAATTTTCTTTCTTTTTTTTCCTTCTTTTTTTCATGCAGAATCAAAAAAGAGAATAACTTTCTTTAAATCAGTTACACTATGCGGATGATACGCTATTTTACACTAATCTCCATTTTCCCTCTTCTGCAGGGCGGTGGTGCATATCCAGGTCAACGATGTGAATGAATTTGCTCCTGTGTTTCGGGAGCCCCAGTACCACGCCGCAGTGACTGAGGGCAAGATTTACGACAGCATCCTGCAAGTGGAGGCCACTGACCAGGACTGCTCCCCACAGTACAGTCAGATCTGTAACTACCAGATCACCACGACCACCACGCCCTTTGCTATAGATCGCAATGGTGAGTAGAAGAGCAGCCACTGATATGTTAATATTTGCCACAAAGAAACCATGTTGTATCACCTAGATGTTAACAGTCTATGACAATCAGTGCATTGAAAGTTGTTATTTTGAAGTGTTGTTGGCGTACCCACTTTCCCTCTACCTGCCTCATCTTTAAGCAGTTCTGCTTCATTTGTTGAAATGATTTCCCACATGTCCAAAATCTTCCAAATCAAATTTTAAGTTTTATCCCCCTCCCTCTGCTCTCCATATCATGTAGGGAAGATGCAAAAACACATTTCTTACATAACGCAGTGATAGTTATAGGATCTAAAAATCCCTCCATCTGCACACGCACACCTTACAGCCACAGGAGAAGCACTCTTACACACTCAGACTGCTCATACACATACCTGCATACACTCTGGCAACGAAACTTAATACTCTGTCAGATGTCTCTCCCCAGGGTAAAATGTGTTCTTTGCTCTTTCCAAGGACGAAGTCAAGCTTTGCCCAGAGAGCCATCAGTCTCCACAAATCAGATCACAGAAGTCTGTGCACACGTAAAAATAAAAACACACAAACATACACACACAGACAAAGATAAATGCGAAGCAAAATCTTTGTACACTCTCAAATACCCTCTATAATTTACTTGACTTTACTGTGTTGCCACTTGCACTTTGTAACTTGGTTCTTGAACATTATTCTGCAAATAAAGATAGTGTTACTCCCCACACACGTACACACATAGACATACAGTGTGAGATACCCACAAAATCTGTTCAGAGATCAGGTATTTTTCTCAATATTGATGTCTTCTTCTGACCTTTTTTTCATTATTTTAATGGGTAGCTGACAAAAAGTCAGGTAGGCTTAGATACACTACTTGAGAATACACTTGAGTCTTACCACTGTTAGACAGACTATTCAAATACTACAACTGGCAGACTGGAGCCTCCTCTGAGACACTTCTTTCTTTCTTTTTTTTTTGCTTAGGATATCCAAATGCAAAAGACATTACTGTTTACATTTTTGTTGCCACCGACAACCGAGCCTCTGCGACTGCTGAGGTGTTGCAATGAAAAAGCTGACTGGATGAGGTCAGGGCAAAACTGCACTGTGAATGATACAGGGGGAGGAGGGGGCTGCCACCGGAGTGTTCTCTCTTCTCTCTCCATTTGAAGGGGCCTCGCTCGGCTATTGACCGCTAAGGAAAAGGCTTTGAGAGCTCTTGAACTCAAGAGCACCTGAGGGAGAGAGGAAGTAGATGGAGGGAAGAAAGGAGGGGGTTGGCTGTGAGAACGAGAACAAGCACTCAGAGAGGATCATGGACAGACAGTAAACTGTAGCAACCATAATGTATCTTATTTTGACTCAAACCCACACACGCTGTATTGCTAGCATGAATATATTCCATAGTGGATCAAAATGCATTATAATCAGCAGCTGAAAATTGCAGTGTTTAGTCATGTGAGTAACATTTTCTAAAAAACTACTATGTCTCATTTGTAAAGATCATCATCTTCAGTATGAAACCGTGGGTTTCGGGCTGAGTGCAGGGTAGCAAAGTTAGAAATTATAGACAGACCACAGGATTGCTTTTTGGTATTTTCACTGAATGTGTGGACGACAAGAACAATACTCTGTAGCGACGGTAGCAGTTTTGTGCAGCTGTATTAAGGCGCAGCAGTGCGTTGAGTTGCATGCTATTATCTGCTAATTATAACTAAACATAAGTACCGAGGTTATTGGGAATGTCATCTGCAGATGTTTG